AGATGTGATATCCTTATAGATAACGTAGATGCAGAGAAAAATCAGCAGGCAGGACCAGATGAAAATTAAGTATTCTTAATTCCAAGATTAGTACCTGAAAAAAGAAAACTCTGCAGAAGATAGGTATTAAAAATTCACAGCTACTTTGGAGTTACAGTATAAAAAGTTAGAATGAAGCTTTTGATTTGTTAAATATCAAACTAATATTAATAAGATGTTTGCAAAACTGGCAAAAGCTGTTTCTTGGACTATTATCCTAGAAGTGCTAAAGCAAAAGGACAGATTTACAAAATTATTTAAAGACTTAAATGTTTTTATAATGAAATTGATAATGTAGAATTAGGTGTCTTAGTTATCCCATTCATTGCATGTAGAGGATTAGCAATGACGTGGAGAATAGGATTTACAGAAATCAGTGTGCTCTGAATATACTTATCATATTGGGCATCAAATGAGCAGCAGCAGAAGAGCACTTGGTATTTAAATCCCACTGAAATATGTGTGGTGGAGTACCAAGAAGCTTAGCATTGTTCAGATTTAGGTTCTCCTCATGCCTAAAAGTACGAAGTTAGAGTTTGCAGGACAGAGCTGGTGAAAACTTAATATGATGGGATTAAGGCACCAACTGAGTAGGTGTCTGCAAAACACTGGATTGGAACCTGGTTCTAGAAGCATCACTGCAGTTTAGCTCAGGATAGAAGTGACTGTAGATACAAAGGGGGAAATATTCTAAATAAATAATTTTGAAGTTATGACGAAGGACAATGTAAACCTAACAATATACATAGTTAGGCTTTTTCATGAGTATCTCCAACTCTTTTTAATTTACTTTAAATTCAGGACTTAATGCTGTTTTGTTTCTCTTCTAGAAATGAAAAATCCTGAAGATGGTATCTTCTGTCTTCTACCCTGCATTTAGGAAACAGCAGGTTATATGCTGGCCTCTGTTTCTCCACATCAATAAATTTAATGGTTAATGCCTCCAAATGGAAAAACTGCTGGGCTACAGTAAGATATTTGGCAGTGTTTGCTGCATGCTGACTTGTCAGCATCAGTGCTCCTTTGCATTAAACTGAAGCATCAAGTAATAGGCTGTTTACATTCTGGTCTCTTTCTATCCCCTAAAGGGTGTTTCCTTGAAGAGGTGAAAAAATTGATTTTTCTCTGCCTAGTAGTTATGATCTTATACTTGAGTTGCTTAAGTACCATCCTGTACCTAAGTTGCCATTGAAACAAGAGTCAATGAAAATGAAAGAGCTCTATATTTTTCTGATAATGTTTGGGTAGGAAGTTTATTCCATTTTCGCAACATATTCCAGCAACAGGTCTTAAAGTAAGACAGTACAAAATCCAATTAAATGACAATTTGAGCAACTTATTTGAGTTCAGCTAGGTGAAGAAGGCCCAGAATTTCTCATTAACCTATGACATGCTCTAATAAAAATTATCTTGAATACACTACTTTTTTATTATAAGAATGACTTTGAAGCTGAGGTAGGTTAGGCTGAGCTAGGCTAGACATATATGTAAAGCTATATGGAGAAGAAAAACAGATAATGGATGCATTCTGTTTTAAGCAGGGATTCTTTTCTGCCCTTGGACACAACAAGAGGGCTGTATCTTTACTAAACAAGGAGGCTCTAGCCTACATTTAGTGTGAAATAATTTCAGTGTATCTAATTTTCAGTCAGTTTCAGAATGGACTCAATTCTTTTTACAAAGCTTGTTTTGGTTCCTGTTCCAAATGTAAGGCTGTGGGGTTCATGTTACAGGAAGGATGCCCGAGGACCATAAAGGGATTCGGTTGCTGACCTCTCAACCAAGTGGGTCCATGTGGATTCATTATTTATTATATTAATAAACTGCCACAGATGGCGCCTGAACAAGGACTTCCCCTGCATCAGGAGTGAATGGGGACTGCCCTGAATCAGGGATAATTGCAGTAGCATTTGGAGCTAGCTTGTTTTAAAAGCTAAAGCAACACTTTCTGAAGAAAAAAATTCAGGCATTGGGAGACCAGTGCAGAAGGCAACTAGAGGACACTACGCAGCAGGACTGGGGTAAGGAGCTCCAAAAACTGAAATTGCATGCACCAGGGAACACCAAGGAAAAAAGGCTACAGAGAACTTGAGGTAAGAAACTGGCATGGGAAGTTCAAGTTCCAGGGAGATAGACAAGGACACAGAAGCTGTGTGCCTATTGTTAAGACAATATCCCACAGAAATCATGCAAGCCAACGTGATTGAACTGTTGCAATGGATAAAAGTAATTGCATCAGGGCTTCCAGTGGTAGGAGCCTTAAATATAACCATGTGGCAAAGCATTGGGAGAAGAATGAGAGAAAGATCAATGTTTGGCGACATAGAAGCCTTTAAATGCTTGCCCACCTGGACACAGGTTATGAATGCTCTGCAAATCACTCAAAGAAGGCCAAATCCCTCTGTAGAGACATATATCAATTTTCCTGCACCCCCCACTAATGCTGGTAGGTGTAGGTGTTCCCCAGAGATCAGGATTAGAGATGGGAGTCAGGGGGAACTGTGGGTGACCTGGGAGGAAAATAGGCGGGAGGACTTAGTAATGGATTCAGGTTGGACTTTCTGTGGGCAGGAACACTGGGAGTTCCTGTTTCTGTGAGAAGGGAACACTGTAAGTTATGGCTCTAGCCTGAGTTTTCACACCCATGCGGGCTGTGGTGATGGGGTGCAAAATTCAAACCGTGGAGCTATTACAGAGGACCAGTTTTTGAGGGGTTTGTGGGGGAGGGAATCCCAGACAGCTCACCCCCCTCGGTCACTGCTGAATCACAACTACATGGTGAGCGGGTCACGGCATGGATGCCGCCATCTTGTGCGCGCAGGGAACTGGAACCACTGGTTGTCTCTTCCGACCCCACAGCCATCTTGTCCCAACCACATGGACGGGGAGAGTTTGCCTCTTCTATCACAGTGGCCATCTTCTGGCATGCCTTTACCGGGAGCTGAGTGCGTCAGTATGGCAGGTAGTGAGGCATTGGAAGACACAGGAGAGGAATCAGCTGTGGTTCCTCTGGGTGAGGACGAATGTATGAGCGCGAGTACATCGGTAGACCAATGGGAAAGGTGTCGAGAAGAAGCAATGCAGACGGGAGATTGGAGAGTTATAAATGCATGTCTGGTCATTTACTGCCCATGGCAAAAACCTCAGTTCCAAAGTTTGCCTTATGACATGACTAGGGAACTGAGGCAAATTGTTAAAGAAAGTAGCGTTTCCTCGTCTCATACGTTTTCATATTTGGAGGCACTGAGTACTACATATGTCTTTACCCCCCATGACTGGAAGACGCTGTTAAAAATGGTCTTAACAACAACACAATACAGTGTTTGGCTCACCAACTTTTGGGAGAATTGTGCGGCTTACACAAATGATCCTAGCAGCTTGCAGGCGGGCATGACTTGTGGTCATTTGGTGGGGGAAGGAGCTTTTACAGCACCTGAAACCCAGGTTGGCTATCCTCAAGAGACATATGAGGTAATTGCAAAAATGACTTTAAAGGCAGTGAGGAGGCTTCCTAGCACTGACAGAGATAGCAACCTATCCTTTGGACCGATGGAATCTTTTTCACAATTTCTTGATTGGCTACAAGCTTTGTTAAGCAAGCAGATAGAAAATAAAGATGCTAGAGAATTGCTTTTCAGGCAGCTCGCCTACAAAAATGCCAACAATGACTGTCGGCAAGCCTTGCAGACAATCCCTAAAAGGGAAAGCTGTACAACTGCTGAAATGGTCCCAGCATGTCAGAATGTCGGATCAATTGCACACCATACTACTTCTCTAGAAATGACCTTAAGTGCCCAGATGAGGATACAGGACAGAATGAAAGGGAAAGATAGCACATCGGCTGCTACCGATGTGAGGCTGCTGATTATTTCTGTAAGGACTGTCCTAAAAACCGCCCTCAGCAGTATGCCAAAAATGTCATAAAGGGAAGCAGTGGTCTAGTGAAGGTTGGACTCGACTCGACCTGAGGAAAAACCCTTCCCATCAAGGAAACTGAGTGTGAAGCCGCATGCCCCGGTCCATCAAATAAATACAGCTCAAGAAAATCAGTTAGTCACCTACTCGCCACCATGGCAGGAAGTACAGGCTTGGACTTGGGATGGATGCGAGCTCTCTCTCCTCTTCTGGATACTGAGCAGAGCGGTTCAGGCAGTTACTTCAGGGGAAGAAGAACATTGGTGGTGGAGAAGTATCTTTATTTTTAGTTCTCCTCTGTATGTATAGTGTTTATACCATTTTCCTTCTTTGTGTAAATACATAAACTGTCTTTTCTTAGCAGCTCCAGTTCAGCACTTGTGTTTTCCCTTCTTTTTCCCCCTTGCCCCCACCTCCCCTTCCGTCCAGAGGACTGGGTGCAGGCTCAGTAGATATCAGCCAAAGTAAACAATGACAGACTCCCACGGTGAAATACAAATTATGGCATGGACACCAATGCCTCCCTGCTACATACCTGAGGGACAACAACTCACCTAGTTAATCCCCTTCTACAGTGCATCACCACCTGGGGAAGGGGAAAGAGGATTTGGGGCTTTTGGGAGTACAGGCGAGCTGCAAATATTTTGCGCAAGGGCTGTCTCTGCGGCACAACGTATAATGACTTGTCACATAGACAGACGCAGATTAAAAGCTTAGTGGACACAGGCACAGATGTCTCTTCCATAAAGGACACTTAACGGATCTTGAGTGTGGACTCTCTGCTAGAGGTTTCCCAGAGAAGAATGCAGTTGCCTGGTCACCCTTTGGGAGAGAGCGACCAAGTTTCCTCTAGGTGTCCCAAGGCGAAAAGACCTTTATTTCCAAACTTCCACGGTTTATATGGGCTCGGGGGGAGGGCAAGAAGAAGGGACGTGATTGGGTCAAGGTCCAGAGGGAAGGGAGTGGCTTGAGGGCTCTACTGACCAATAGGGGATACAGGAGGATCATGTTCCAGTAACAGAACCAGGGACTGGGGAGAGGCAGGTGAGACAGCCTATCCTGTTTGTGCAGGGGTGGAGTCTGTGATCGGGGAGGGGAGAAAACATGGTTCCGAATGGGGGGGCCACGTGGGTCAGGGAAATTACACAGCTCAGGGAGAACCTGTACAATAAAAAATGCAAGTAGTTGTTGTTTTTCTTCTTTGGTCGATCCTGGGAAGCTGCCGCTGTAATGGACCCGTTTCTAAAGCTGTTCTTTCCAGGCTTCGTAATCCTGGTGTTCGCCTACAGACACTGAGTGGCCAGCTGACTGCCCCACTGTATTTCCTGCTTCAACTATTCAAGGGGTTGGAGGTGTGCAAAAGCCTAGGCAGAGTGCACAAGCGCGTACAGTGTTGGGACCAGATGGGCAGATTCCCAAAATAGCACCTTTCGTTGGTCCCATCCCGTGTACTTTGTGGGGGAGAGATGTCCTAGGCCAGTTCGGCACTGTCATGCAAATTGTGACAAGGGATGCTCAGGATTTTCAGTGAGGGCCATTGACCAGCCGTTCCAAGGACGGATTAAACTGACATGGTGAACCAATGACCCTGTACAGGTTGATCAGTGGCCCTTAAAAAAGGAACGACTCGTTCACCTGAGAGACCTAGTCCAAGAACAACTAAATGCAGGACATATAGTGCCAACCTCCAGTCCGTGGAAGGCTCCTATGTTCTGCATTCCGAAAAAAAGTGGCAGCTGGCGTATGCTGCAAGATCTTAGAGCAGTCAATTCAGTCATTGAACCTAGGGGGGCATTACAACTAGGACTCCCCTTACCTGCTATGATTCTAGCGGGATGGCCATTAATGGTAATTGACCTGAAGGACTGTTTCTTCGCTATTTTCCTACACCCTGACAATGCCCCACGTTTTACCTTCTCAATCCCTACTTTAAATCATGCAGAGCCTATGCAAAGATTCCACTGGGTCGGTTTTCCCCAGGGTATGCGCAATAGTCCAACTATTTGCCAGACTGTTGTGGCTAAGGCTATCCTGTCTTGGTTTGTGTATGGCCCTTAACCTTACATGAACTGCAAAAACTTATGGGAGCCATCAATTGGCTAAGGCCTATTTTGGGGTTAACCACAGAGGAGCTACACTGTGGACAGCAGGAGTTCAGAAACAATGCAGACGATCAATATGATCAGCGATGTTCAATTTATTATTTAAATGAGTCAACTTTTATACAGTTTAGTTTGTTTCGGGTACATGCTTATGACAAGGTGATTGGATAGCTCAGTCTGTGCACGCGTCTCATGCCTTTAGTTCATCGGATTTGAAGCTCTGTGCACACGGCCTGAGATAATTTTTGGCATGCGAAGTCCCTTCTATTGATCCGCCTTTAGGGGTTTTCCGAGACTCTGCAGGTGTACCTTTATGTCCAGTTTCTAAAGGCTTTCTTACTACAAACATACTATTTTCTCATTCCCTATAACTATAAACACACAGCTAATGAATATAAACATTGCATAGTTTCACACAGCTTGCAACTTTAAAGTCATGTCAAGCAAGGCCTACAGAAATGCAAAGGAATTTGTTCACACACAATCTCTATTCTCCCAACACTACACCCTCTATTTGAGCTGCTAAAGTGTAACTCAGACTTAATGTCTAGCAAGTCTCTGACTGCAGAGGCAAAGCAGGCGTTAGAAACATGTTCCAAGGCAATCGAGAGTAAACAAAGCAGGAGGAGAAATCCTGAACTGCAAATCTGCCTTGCTCCTGTCCGTAGCAGGTACCAGCCATTTGCAGTTTTGTTCTAGTGGGATCAGTCTGAAAATGATCCACTGAGGGTCCTAGAATGGCTGTTTCTGCCATTCACCACCTAAAACTGTGTGGACCACTAATGAAATGTTTGCCAAGCTTGTCATTAAAGGCAGAGGACATCTACAGGAGCTGGATGGGAGGGACCCTGCAACCATCTACATCCCGGCAACAAAGGACAGCTTTGACTGGATGCTAGCTGAAGATGCAGGACTCCAGGCTGCCTTGGCAGACTATCATGGTGACATTTCTATTCATTACCCTAAACACAGACTGTGGGCAGAAATGTGTAATGTACCCTTAAAAGCCACAATCAGATGCAAACACAAACCAGCAAAAGGCCTCGTGGTTTTTACTGATGCATCAGGATGAATCAGGAAAGCTGCAGTGACATGGGTAAATCCTGATACAGGACAATGGGACAAAGAGGTGCAGAACACGAACCAAGGTTCTGTACAGGTTCTGGAACTGGCTGCTATACGTATTGCCTTGAAAAGGTTTTCAGAGCAACCTGTTAATGTTGTCACAGACTCTTGTTATGCAGCAGGGTTAGTATCCTGTCTTGAAGGTTCATTCCTTCGGGATGTTGCTAACCCTCACTTGTTGTTTGAAATATGTTCAGTATGGTTTCTGTTAACCACAGGAAGTTTGACTTTTACATTATGAACATAAGATCACACATAGAAATGCCAGGGCCAATAGCAGAGGGGAACCAAAGAGCAGATGCCGCAGTGATGTTCAACACTGTGCCCAGAGTCTTAGAGCAAGCAAAATTGTCTCATTCATTTTTTCACCAGAATGCATGTTTACTGAAGAGACAGTTTCAAATCACACTCAATCAGGCTCTAGACATAGTTATGTCATGCCCAGACTGTCAACATATAACTCCCATGCCATCTCAGGAAGGAGTTAACCCCAGAGGGTTAATGGCAAATGAGATTTGGCAAACAGATATCATGCACATACCTGAATTCGGTTCATTAAAATATGTACATGTCACAGTTGACACCCACTCACAATACATCACTGCCACTGCACACACTGGGGAAAAAGCAAAAGATGTAATAAGGCACTGGCTTAGCTCTTTTGCATCCCTAGGTACCCCAAAACAAATAAAGACCGACAATAGACCTGCCTTAATATCAGAAAAGGTAAGAACCTTTTTGTCAAATTGGGGAATTTCTCACACTACAGGCATTCCACACTCACCTACGGGACAGGCCATAGTAGAAAGGGCACATCACACCCTAAAAGACATGTTAGCTAAACAGAAGAAGGGGGAATCCATCTGTAGCCCACAAGAGCGTCTGTGGAAAGCCACATACGTCATAAATTTTTAAAATTGTGATAGTGCTGAAAAAAGCAGGCACAAAAGGCAACACAGGCCTCGGGCATTCTCCTCTTCCAAACCAGTCATGATAAAGGATCTAATTTTGGGACAGTGGTCAGGACCGGTAGACCCTGTGACATGGGAGAGGAGTTATGCATGTGTATCTATAGGAAAAGAGCTGAAATGGGTTCCTTCCAGATGTGTCAAACCTTACCTAGGTACACCCTCACAGCAACAAGGATCAGAGTAATGCAAAGTTTATAAACACAGTCACATTTACCAATTGGTAATGATGTTTACATTTCAGGTTTACATTTGAAGATGACCAACGTGGCAAAATGCAGAGTCTATACAAAACCCATGAGTGTGTGTGTGATGACTGGAATGATGGCCATCCGTGTGAATTTGTGTGAGTGAATAAAAGAGTTGTATGAATGTATAAAGCACTTTAAACACCAAACACCTTATCAGAGCATCACTACCTCAGCCACATGGTCACATTAACAGAATTTAGTTTGCTACATTTATCTCGTTTTTGAAATAAAGTTGAATTTCCCAGTTTATATAAACCCTGAGATTAATAAAGGTTATAAGTTATAAGTAATACATGGTTGGGCTAAGGCCCTTAGGTTAATAAAGTTGTTTTTCCAAGTTGCACTGTAGCCCTTAGAAGAATAAAGGTTCAAGGTAATATAAGCAAATTTAAAAGGGTTAAAGAAAACATTTCAATAGATATATTAGCTCTTAAGAAACCAAAGTAAGCGGTGTGTGCTGGGTCACTGCGATGCTATGGTAGTTGTATAATGTATTGTTATGTTATTTGCACTGTTGGTTTTGCACTGCTTTCGTGATCGTCTTAAATATTTAGAATGGGGGAGATGTAGCAGGCGTGTCCCAGGGGATGCAAAGGGTGCATCCTGGGAGATGAAGTCCTGAAGGGACTACAGGGACACATGCACAGTGTGTGTCTGTGCTCCCATTGGCTAGCCATGTCCCCCAAGGGGTTAAAAGAGTGCTCCTGTTTGAAATAAAAAACATTTGTCTGCATGCCATCAACAAGCCAGATCAAGTCTCTTTTATTATATTAATAATAAGCCACAAAAGGACTTAATATCGGGACAGTGGATGGGACCAGTGGATCTTGTGATGTAGGGGAGAGGATATGCTCCCATATCTACATGCACAAAACATCCAGGTCTGTCAAACCTTATATCGGTACACCTTCACAGCAGAGCAAGTGCCAGAGGTGACAATCGAAGAGACTACAGATAAAGACACATAACTGATGATTATTGCTGAAATTAACCTGTGTGGCCAAAATACAAAAACCTAACAAAAATCGTAAGTATGCATGAGAAGAGAGAGTGAGGTGGCTGCCTGCATGAATGTCTACGAGTGAATGAGAGAATTTTGTGAACATATGACTATATGTGAGTGCACAAGCACTTTAAATCTAATAAGCCTTGAAAAGGCTGCACTTACAAGACAGCACTACCTCAGCCATATTGTCACACTAGGAAAAGTTCAGTACACAGCACTTATCCCCCCCCCAAAAAACCCTTTTGTTGAAATAAAGTTGAATTTTCCCTGTTCTATGCAGACCCCTAGAAAAACAGAGGTCGATGTTTCACCCAGTTACACAAGAAACCTCAGATTAATAAACTTGTTGTTCATTCCAGTTGCATACAAACCATTAGAAAATAAAAGTTCAAGTTTATATAAAGTAATTTCAAAAGGTTAGAAAAAAAGTTCAAATAAGTCTACTTGTTAAAGAACCAAGATCTTTAAAGGTAAGGCAGTGAGCTGAATCACGGTGATATAATAGTGATTGTTAAAAAAGGTTCAAAGGCTTAGAGATGTACTGTTCTACAATATGCACTGTTCTGTAAACCATCACAACAATAAAGAAACGAGGGAGATGTGGGGTTCATGTTACAGGAAGGATGCCTCAGGAGCATCCTGGGAAATGAAGTCCCCTAGGTACTCCAGCATACACGAGCAGTGAAGTACTCTGTTGTGATTGGTTGATAGAATCCCGTGTTGTGACATTTACTTTCAAAGTGCATATAAAAGTTATTGTTTGTTTTGAATAAACGGATTTGGTTGCTGACCTCTCAACCAAGCGGGTCCGTGCCGATTTATTATTTATTATATTAATAAACCGCCACATAAGGCCACATGAAGATTGTCTATGTAGATTTCATAAACACTGTTCAAATATATTTATTAGTTTAGTTTTCCCTTTTCAAGCTAAATTTTAAAACAGCAGGCAGGAAGACCTATCCAATATATATGTTTCTATATAACTAAACCAGAAAAATATTTCTCATTTTGCTATGCTTTGATTTTCAGTGAAATCTCTTCCGAGCTTTTTTCTGAAGTTATTCCTGCATGCAACTGTCCCAAGCAGAAAGGATGGAAACTCCATCAAGCTTGTCTTCCTTATTATTTAAACTCGAAATGAAAAATTATTCAACAATAAGAGCTAAGCAAAAACTAGTTTCCATTCCCTACCTATAGGAGTCTCTGTCTAGACCAGCTTTGATAAGTGCTCCTGCTACTTTTTTTTAAATTTAACAAGGATAAAAAAATAAGTAGAGAAGTATTCGTGGTTTTGATGTAGTGGAATGTACTAGGATTTGAATTACTTAAATTATATAAAGTCATAAATGCAGAAAATAAATTTAAAATATTTTAATCCCAGAGTATTGAACCAAAACTCACACTTCCAAAACTTCTCCTAGGCAGCCTTTTCTCTGGCATCAGATATCTGGCATAGCTTACACTGATTTTTCTGTAGACAAAATACTAGATTACAGGAATAGCAAGGTGGTTAGTATTTAACCTGTATCTAGCATACAGATCAGAACAAGATGACAAAAATAAGACTGTGTGTACACTGAACATTTTGTATTTGTTGTGTTGT